GTCCTGTTGAATGAAATTTAACAGTAACTTCAACTGAATTCTGAGGGTAATTCTGTGTCTGGGATCTGACATTCAGGTGAGAGGATCCTGCAATATAAGGTGAAACTTGACTCCTGCCTTAAAAGCAGCTCAGACTAGATCAAGATGGACAAGGTGGTTGAAAAACGGTTTGTGAAGCATAGAGGTATATTAGCACACTCTCAAATGTCCACTTTGGACTTTGTTCTCCACAATGAAAGTAATGCTAAAGGAACTGAGGCTCTAGCAGTATGACATCTAGATGGGCTGAGAAAGCATATTAGAACAAGGACAGCAGCTAACTATCACTAAAGAGAGCCTGCATAAAGGAGTAAGACAAGATTTATGAAGACCATGAGGAATGGATGAGACTCAATTCCTGTAGAGCAAGGTAAGTGAGCAAAACTTGACCAAGCCAAAAATTCTGTAACACCTACAGATAAACAAGGGATGATAATGAACTCAGGGGAAAAGATTATTTAATAGTCTCATTGACGTTTTTAAATTTTCGAAGCAAACATATCAGCAAGTAATTATAATACACCAATAAAATAATTAGTATTTGAACTGTAGTACATTTAAAAATCAAATAAGTATTATAAATGTCAGAGGGAATGTGGCCATGCCAACACCTGAATTCCACATTTCTCTAGAAATGTGAGAATTTGTTGCTTTATCCCACCAAAAATGTTTCTTTAAAAACATGGCTTTTGGGGCCCTCCCTGATGGTGCAGCGGGTTAAAGCACTGCACTAAGAAACTAAAGCCACTTCCGCATGAGTTCGATTCCCGCCTGCCCCGGAGGCAACCACATGGCGAGGCAGCCCTCTCCTGACCCTCCCGTTGCTCCCCTCAGCAGTGTACTTCGTCAATCTGCCTGTTCTGCTTCCCTCTCTGTCTCTGGTGAATCCTCTCACCAGCCCTGCACCTCTGGCCTGTACCCCAGTTCTGTACAAATAAATAAATAAATCTTTAAAAAAAAAAAAAACATGGCTTCTGGCGACTGTGTAGTATTCTCTGCCAGGGGATGACTTACTTAGTAATTTTCCAATGCTAGACATACATAGTTATGACAGTAAAAAGTGTAACTGTAATAATCATTCCTATAAGTTTCTGTACATTCATTATTTCCACATGGAAAATTCCTAAAAATAAGTCAAAGGTTTTGAACACACTTTGATATATAGCGTAGCAGTCCTTCAAAGAAGTCCATCATTTTATGTCACTGTCAAAAAGTACACCAAGCGTTCCCACGTCAACCCCCATCATTAAAATTTAACATTTTTGTTCTCAAATTGAAAATATGGAATTATAAAAATGAAAGTATCTCTAAAACAAACCCCACCCAAACCAGCCACACTCAACAAACAAGTGACAGTGGAAACAAAGACTGCATGTAACATACGATTATTATCAGAGAAATTTTAAAGTCACTACTGGAAAAGCAACAATTGGTGCTTGTCATATTTGCAGTGACCTCCCAGCATCATTTTACTATGCAGCCACCCACATTTTCACCCAAAACACTGTCACCAATCTTTGATTTGGATTAAGACTCCAAAACTTGGTTAGACTGTACAAAACCACTGTCCTTTCCCCAAATCGTAATGTTGATTAATCTTAATACTCAAGGAAAACGTGAATGAGATTGCCACAAACCAACGTGGGGTCCTTTCTCAGTGCAAACTCTTAAGAATTTTCTTCATGATCCCAGTCTTTCAACAAAACTACTAATAAGCACTTTAAAAATATAAGTCAAAGAGAGGCTCATGCTAATTTTTTAAAAGAACTGACTTTGATTTCTGCTGCCAACATCTGCCACACATCTTTTTGATTCAATATTTTACCAATTGCTTTTTTAGTTTTAAGTACTTAAAAGTTCAGTAAAAGCAATTTAAGGTGCCAATTACGGACACTGGTGCCTCAATATAAAACATCTTTTAAAAATGATTTGTCATCACACCAATGACAAAGTTTAAAACCAAATTACAGCTGATTTCCACAAAAGAAATTTCCCCTACAAATTCAAAAAATAAGTTATTTCTATCTAAAAAGATTTCCAGATACGAAACTGATACAAAAATTTTATTTGTTAAATTTAACAAGGACAAACTGCCAAGTGTTTTAAGAGCATCATTTAGTTCAAAACTAAAGAATTCTAGGATTTTATTATTTGCAAAATGATGTCAAGAAATGATCAACTGGCCTTCTACACACACAAACCTGTAAGTCTCAGATGCCATGAAGACTTGACAACTGATATTTTCTTACAGGGGCAACTTGCACGGGAGCACATACGGGAAGCCAGAATGCCAGATGTGTTATATCTTACATGGCTGACTAGCCAAAATCTTAAAATTGTTTTCCCTCAAAGTTTTAAGTACCATCCAAAGCAGAAGTCCATGTCCTGGCCAAGTTCTCAAAAACATCCAACCCTTAAAAGCTGTAAAAATTTTAAATCCCAAACCATTCATTCTATACAACCTGAAAGCAAGTAGGTGTTTTAGCATTACTGATTCAGAAGATGCTTTATAAGCTCTTAAACAAGGGTAAAATTAAAATGCACTGAAGAATAAAGCAACTCAAAAAAAGGAAAAAAACAAACCTCTGATTCTATAGTGTGGTAGGAGAAAGCCTAAATCACCCCAAGGATGTATGAAATGAGCTATTTTTCTCTTAATGATGATTGAACTTTTTCCACATCATGGTCTCCAGAAACTAGGAAACATTTTTTCTTCTCGTCATTATGGGCATATGCCTTTTATATGTGTGTGTTCTGTTTACTGAAATTCTCAGGAAGGCTCTTAAATATGTTTGAGAACAAATTGCTGATCCCTGGGTGGGCAGGGAAAGGATCCAAAATATGGTGGTTTCTGTAGACAGTCAAGAACATTGGTGAGACTCACCAAATACCATACTTACTTTACTTGTGGTTTTCAGATATATTGTACAACTTCAGTTGAGACCTCCCTGTCCTTTGGGGTTTTTTTTTTTTAAAAGGTTTACTGAAACTACTGATACTTCTCCAGGTAGATGCAAGAAGTAAAAATCAACACTGTCAGGACAACAGAAAGAGGTAAGAGGCAGTGACTACTGTATCACCACATCTGTAACTTTATTATCACAAGCAATCCCACACTCTTAAGGTTTAAGGTACCTAGGAACAAGGCAAACACCTCAGTCTTGGGTTGGTTCATCTGAGATGGGTCAGGCAGAAAAATGTGTCTTTACCTAATCTTATCAAATTAAGTAGATTATGGTTTCCAGACACTGAAATCTCTCATTACCTAATAACAACAAAAATCTTGTTTTGCCAGATTAACATTTCCAGTGACAATTTCTCAATTGGGTGAGGGGAGGGAGGTGTTTTCATAGTATATAATTTTACCCTTAAAAGAAAACAGGTTTGCCAGTCTAACTGAAAGATTTCTTTAGTATTATCTTAGTATGTTAAGTAATTAAGTGCAGCAGTTCCTTAAAGCAAACACTCAAAAATTACTTCAGTGGTGGGAAAAACAGCAAAGAAGCCGACGAAGGGTCAATAAAACAGAACTTGCAATTCAAGTTTACAGTAGTATTCCCTCGCTTGCAGTTAGAAACAAGTATGTAAATTGCACATTTGGAAACGGTTTATAATAAAAAATAGAAAGTTTCCTCAGGTGAGACAATTTTTGGCTTACCGCAATTCATCTAGGTTGCACTACTAACACAACTGAGTTGAGTAAAATCATTTTACATCGTTATCCAAGGTTTTAAGTCTCTCATCTTTCTGAGTCTCTCCTTTTTCTCCGTTAAATAGCTCCCATTTTATAACAGACAATGTGCTGAGGGCTTATGTGCATTAAAGCCCCCACCTCTAGTTTAACTATCAGAATTTTAGTTTGCACACAACCACAGTATCTAATAACCTCAACATCTTGTCCTTTAAAATCAGTTTCCTCTTTGTTAATCTTACTTATTAGGAAATGTGATACCTGTAAGAATGTTTCAAGGTCATAGCAAGATGCATACTTTCTTCCATCTACACTCTACATTTCTTTTAAGAATGTTTAATAACTCAGCTATGTAGGGTCTTAAAAAGGAGGCATAAAATGTTTAAAACTCCAGATAATGTAACTGCAGGCGCCCGTGTTATTAATAGGATACCACAAATGCCTCACAACTACCAAAAAGTTGAAAAGTTTGTTCTGGTGGTACCTCCTCTATTATCTGAATTTTGTCTTTCTCAAACCAACACTCGGAGAAGTCGCAACATTTACGCACCACGTAAAAATAAGCTCAGAAGTCAGTTTCATGAAGAGCCTCAATGATCATTTGGTGCATTGCAAGGGTTTATACGCTTATGCTGCTTCCCGTATCCACATCGCCCTTCAGTTTACTAAACCTAACCACCCAGGTCTGGGGTCTTTGACTCATCAGAGAAGAATGCGGCAGATGAGTTATCTATTAATCCAAAATGCCTGAGCTGGAAAAATATTTCACCAAGAACTTTTTACTCTGAAAGGGAAGGGAGCAGGGAACAGGAGGTGTCTTTTAACGAGAACTTTCCCCGAGTTTCTTCCTTAAACCACACACAACAAGCACACACCCCACAACTTCCTGCTCCAAAAGGCAAATTAAATCCTGGGTCCCAACAAACTGAAGTCACCCACGAGTCAACTCTCCATTCCGCTTTTAAAATCCCAGGCAAACAAAGCTGAGCTTTATACTTGTAAGTCCACAGAAAGTCCTCAAGGTTACGCAATTTTAGTCGCGTGGACATACACACACACACACACACACACACACACTCACTCTCTCCCGTAAGATACACCTCCCAGGGCCGGTTTGGGGCTGCCTCTCGGGGTAAGGGCAGTCCCCGAGCCCCAGTCGCCCGCGCCGCGAGACCAGCGTCCGCGCCCCGCTGGCCGCCGCACTTTGGAGAAAGCCCGCGGCTCCGTCCCAGGTCGCACCCGCCACCCCGCTGAGCCTCTCAGTACGTACCTCTTCCTCCTGAAGGTTGGCCTCGTTCGGCGTGTTCTCCTTCTCAGCTTTGCCGCCGTTGTTCATCTTCCCGGTCCTTCTTCGCCGGGCAGGGCTGGGGCGCGGGGCTGGGCGAGGGCGCACTCGCCCACTTTTCCCTGCCGCGGGCGCCGCGGGCTGCGGGGGCTGGAGCCTGGGCAGCGGCGGCTCCGCTCCCGCGGCGCGGCGATGCGAGACGGCGAGCGACTCAGGAAATGCGAGCGGGACGGGGCTGGGCGCGGCACGGGCGGACCAAGAAGGGGTCGGAGACAATCGGGACCCCGGAGGGAAACCTGGAAAGGGAGGGCGGGCGCGAGGGAAGGAAGAAAGGATGGGACGAGGACGCGCGTCCTTAGGAGTGAGCCTAGAGTTGGGGATGTGGCCGCGTAGGGGCTAGTGGGGAGGGGGCCGCTGCCCGAGCCTAGGAGCGTCTGGAAGGAGGGGGCTAGGGTGCCCCGAGAACTGGAGTTAGAGGAGGGGGTGCGAGGCGGGCCGCGGCTGGGACGCTGGGACTCGAAGCCGCTGAGTGCGCGCTCCTGGCAGGCTCTGGAAGTACGGGATCCCAGCAGCTGCCTTTCTCTCGCCCGCCGGCCTTTCTCCCTCCCCTCCCCCCTCCCTTTCCTCCTCCCTCCGCCCTCCCTGGACGTGGGCTGTCGGCTACAGCCCAGAGGGACGGGGCGCGGGACGGTGAAGCCCCCTGCGGGAGGAGGGGCTGCGCCGAGGGCGGCTGCCCCGCGGCCGGATGGCGCGCTCTGGGGAGGGGCTGCGATTCGCCGGCGGAAGCAGCCGACCCCAGCCCCCGACTCGGCGGTAGGTCGGGGGGCGAGGGCCTGGGAAGGGGAGGGAAGGAGTTCGGGTCTTCTGGCTTCCTCCGCTTCTTCCTGCTCCCGCTGCCCCTCAGGGTCTGAGTTTGCGGACTTGCTGTGCGGGGCGTACAAGCCTGGACTGGGCCTTTGGGGAGACAGGCCCCACGAGCGCGACCACTGGTTAGTGTGATGGGCTACTTCTGTGTGCTGGCTTTTCACAGGATTTGCACCCTGATTCTTATGCAGACCCCTCCTTTCCAGTACCGCTTTAGCCCACCTCTTGCCTTCTTGGTCAGTTGCTTGAAATGACAAGAGGAAATTCGAGAGACATCCGCCGTAGCCCACCCCGGGCCGACGTTTTGGGGGGCACAATTTCAAACCCACCTTAAACACGGGATCCTCCAAAACGTCTCCAGCCTCTCCGCACCAGCCGTTGTTCTCAGATAGACTTCTCGTGGCTTCTGTTGGACTCCTCCGGCCCTTATCAGACTGTTCTGGAATGGAATTGTATTTGTTTACCTGACTGTTTCCTTTACCCTTCTGGGAGATCCTTCCTGGAAGGATCTTTTTAATCCCACGGTTATTTGAATAGGCTACCTGGTATATAGAGGACACTCAATAAATATTTGTTGGCTAGTGAATAGTACTCACTGCAAGCACAACTGACGGCAATACAGATGATCTTCAGAAGGTCAAAGTACGCTCAACCAGGCTCATGCGATTGGGAAGCCAGCACTGATTTCTGCATCGACCTCAGAAGACTGAGGTTGTTTCCTCATCTGTGAAATGGGAGTAGTTCTACTCATCGCCCAGGTTTTTTCTATCAGAGGAAATTAGCGCTTGATAGATAAAGCTGTAGCACCTGGTACCTATTCTGACCTAGTTTAAGTTCCATCTAACATCATTATTAAGGAAACTTTCATTTTTCCTAGGCCATAGAGAGCTTTACCAACAGCGTATCACCTATGCTTTCAAGTTTTACTGTTCCACACACATAAATGTTAAACTCCATATATCAGTAGATTCTCCCTCATTTTCCACTCCCAGGAAGCTCTCAGCTTGCAGTTTCTTTCCAGCACAACACTAATCACAACTTCTATTTATTTGCTAACTTAACTGTTTCTCTTTCTCCCTCCCAGGACATTCTTTACCCTACAGTGGTTTAAGTGCCAGCTAGGAATGGGGTGTGGGTGGGGTTGGAGTTGAAGATAAAGCCTCTGCTTTTAGAGAGTTTAAAGTAGTGCTGTGGATAAGATACCAAAAACAACTCCAGGGCAACATAATCTCAGATCCTGGTTCAAACTGTAGAAGGCAAAGAAATTATTTGCTTGAAGAGGATTGTGAAGACAAAAAACAATAGTGATACTTGGATTGGGGAGGGGGTCGGTAGTGAGGAAGGAATCTGAAGTTTTATAACGTGATTTAATTGCTGTCAGGAGGTCATTTCTGGGGAGAGAGGGACGGGGAAGTTTACCATAAAAATAGTCAATTTCAGTTGACTCTCCTGAAATTCATAAGAAGCAAGGATTAGATTACTGTGGAAACTTGGTCAGCCCTTTCTGCTTCCAGTTCCTTCTTCAATCAGATGGAGAACCGGGAGGGGGCAGTATTTACCAGAGCAATGGCTGAGTGGTGGTCTTGGGCCCCTGTGCTGATTAGTAATCCTAGCACTTTACCTTCTTTGGCCATTCTTACCTGTTACTGAATATACTCAATAGAAAGTCATTGTCTTACTGGAGCCTGGCAAAGGCCCAAGAAAAATGACAATTGATCTAGTCATTGATGGTTTCAGTCAGATTCCACTTAATAGCAGATGCAATAGGTCATGTGATTCCAGAATGCTGGGAGAATTTTCCCTGCCCCCACCCAAGGAAATAGGGCTTAATCAGACATAAAAACCTCATTCCTTTGTCTTTAGGCCAAACCAGCACTTTGTCCTTTGTTAAAAGTCAAAAACCCCTGGAAATATAAGAGGTTCCATGAGCGGTTCCTTGTCTGGCTTTTTCATTGCTGTTGTGTCCAACATCTAAACAGTGCCTAGTAGTCTCTCAATAATTATTTTTGAACAAATGAACACACTGCCTTATCAATGGAAGCATCTGGACACAAAGGGCCAGCACAGGGCACTTAAGGAAGGTCCAGGCAAGGGTTGTTACTCTTTATTTTGCAGATGGAAAGTTTGTGTGAATGGGATAAGATTTCAAGAAATTTTAAAAACATAACACCACTCAGCCTAGGGACTCAAGACCATTCTCCTAATCAACTAACACATCAGGCAATAGCCAATAAAGAATATACACTCAATATATTCTGTGAAATTCAGTGTTTCCAAAAAAGTGTCTGTTGAGACTATATGCCAGGGACTCTTCTGTTTTCTGTCCTTTCCGTGAAGCATGGTTAAAACTTAGAAGAAAAAGTCATTTCTTACCAACAAAACTAAATAAAAGGATGTGTGTGATTTATAAACCTTTGCTAGGGAGGGAAGAGTGTGGGGCATAGGGCTGGGGAGTTAGGGAATGCACACTCATTCAGGATGTAAATGATCTTTATGATCTGTTTACTACTTCAGAGAAATAAGTTTGCAAAGTGATATCTCCTCAGTAGCAACAATTTCCAGACATGCCAAGAGTTATAAGAAAACAAAGAGATTATATGTCCTAGAAAAATGGGACTAATAACCAAAAAACATCTGCTTTCTCCCCTGTCCACCCTATCTCATTGCTTCTGGCCTACAAGATTACACACTAGATTGAAAGGAAAATATTGTATGCACCTGTAGTTTTATTACTCATCTCTGTGTCTTGGCACTATTCATTTTGAGGCTTTGCTTTAAGGAATCCAAACCTATAATTATGTCTTAAATGTTTGTCTCTGGGAATTGCAGACATTAAGAGTCTATTTTGAGGCAATTTGCATGGCATGGGCTTTGTGTATGTATGAGTACTACGGCAGAAAGCTGCAGTATCTACCACATGTGTAGTGAATATCTATTAACTCTCCTTTAGATAGATTAACTCTTCTGTAGGCCTCAGCTGGCCCCCAAAAGTTGCTCAGACCAGAAGCTGTTTTTAACTGATTTATGGCATACTCAACACCTTTCCCCTTAACTCCGCCCCTGCCCACTTCCAGGCCATCAGCATCTTCCTAATTTTATTTATTTTTAATTACATAATTTATTTTTAAGGGTAGCTAGAAAACATACAACAGAGGATTGACCATTTAACCATATTTAAGTTTACAGTTCAGTAATGTGAAATATATTCGTGGTGTTGTGCAACATCCTCCCGATTTTTACCTCCTAAATAGTTCTGAGATTCAGTCACTTCCCTCCAATCATTTGTGGAAGCCAAGCAGCCACGTGGGCAGGTTCACATGTAAGAGAACTAAGACCAGGCTTACAGCCTTAAGCCTCAACTGAGCGCTCAGTCAGTACCAATTGCCAGCCTCGTGAGTGAATTATCTTAAAAATGCAAACTAGCACTAGTTGAGCTGCCCCAGCTGACACCACTTAAAAGACAGATGAAAAAAAAAAAAAAAAGACAGATGATCTGTCTTCACTGAGTTGTGCCCAAGTTACAAAACTTAGCAGAAAAGGGGAACACTCTTGTTTTAAGCCACCAAGATTTAGGGTGGTTTGTTATACAGCAATAGGTAACTGAAACACAATTTCATACCTAGAAGTGGGGGTAATGTGGTAGTGGTTTGGATACAAAGTGGAAGATGCAAATGGAAGAACTTTAAGGAGTCTGTTAGTGAAAAACACTTCTGGGCTGGAGAAAAGGGGGGCCTATTTATGTACTAGCAGAGCAGTTAGCTATAAGGAGATTTTGGGGTAGAATATTGAAAGTGTTGAATGATTTCTTTTAGATGCTTAGGATCTAAATCAAGAGAACTAAGAATTTGCTCAGTAGAATTAAAGTTAGTTTCTCCAGAGGGTAAAACTCTCAAAAAGTCACCTGTGTACAATGATGAAATCCATGGTGCTAGCAGGAAAAAAGCCTTACATAAGGATGTAACTTTGAAGCCCTATTGATTCCTAGTTCCTGGTAACCAGCCCTTCTGTGAACCCTTCCCCCTGAGTGTGGGCTGGACCAAGCCACATGCTTTTAGTGAATAATACTGAAAAGTGATAGGTATCTGACATATTAACTACTTGTAAAGTGAACGGTCTTCTATACCCTTCCCTGTGCTCTCATTCCATTGCCTTTGAGGAAGCCAGCTGCTATGAGAGCTACCCTATGGAGATGCTCATGTGTCAAGGAACATTGGAGGCCGCCACACAGAGCCAGAAAGGAAGTCAGGCTTTCATTCCAACAGCCCATGAGGAACTGACTACTGAAACAACCATGTGTTTAAACTTGGAAGTGGATCTTCCCTAGATAAAGCCCTAAGGCTAGGCCTGTTATGGACTGAATGTTTCCCCACAAAAGTTCTTAACCTCCAATGTGATATTTGGAGGTGAGGCCATGGGAGGTAAGTAGGTTCAAATGAGGGTATGAGGGTTGATCATCCTGAAGGTATCAGTTTTTTACAAGAAGAAATATAAGAACCATCTCTCTGCTATATGAGGATACAGAACAAGCAAGGGGCTCCTCACCAAGAAGAGTATTAACTGACATCTTCATCTTGGACTTTCCAACCTCCAGAACTATGAGAAATAACTCACCGATATTCTTTGAGCTACCTAATTGATGATACTTGTCATGGTATCCTGAACTGAC